TCTCTCTCTCTCTCTCTCTCTCTCTCTCTCTCTCTCTCTCTCTCTCTCTCTCTCTCTCTCGTTTTTTATCTTTTTTTTTTGATCATCTTAATTTGTGTAAAAATAATATAAAAATACAGAAAAAAATATTTTCATTACTTCAAATCTTTATTTATAGCTAGAAATGAAAAAAAAAAAAAATTACATTCTACATTTGCAGAAAATCTTTTGCTTCTTCATCTGTTATGATAGAAGCTATTAAATGAGAATTATCTTATGAGAAAAAGCATCTATTGTTACTCTCGAGCGCATCTTATTATATTTCCAGTGTTGTACGTACGTTATTACATCACGCACGCGGTAGACCGGCAATATAGTAATTGTAATTATATAATTTTGCATCAAATCGTTCCGGTTCACATGAATCATGGTTATTATAAGTGATTCATGTGGCCATAAATAATTTTTTTATTATTACAAATCTAGAAAAAAATCGATAAATATTATTTAATATCAGAGATGTTAAATGAATATGATATGTTGTATAATTAGCAGTGTTCCATACTTCTCAGAATGAAGTTGAAAGTAAAAGAAGGAAATTAGTAAATGAAAAGATAATAATAAAATATTTTTATAATATTTTGGAAAAATGAATTTTTAATAATATTGTGACATTGTTAATTATTTATTTTTATGGAAATTAATAATTATTTTTTAGTTTGTAACAATAAAAAATTAAATATTCAAATTAAAATAAAAATATATAAACTAAATATAAATGTCATTAATCTTTATCTTAATAATTTAATAATTCTTAAATAAAAAAAAATTATTTATCTATATTATTTAAATAAATAATTAATTTAGAAAAATTAAATTAATTCTTGGAACAAAATATATATTTGAGAAAACTGAATTAGACCACAAAATGAATATAATCGTAAATGAATCATGCAATTATATTATTTTTTCCTTGAGTATTATTGGACAATAACAAAAAAGGAAGATGTTTAATGATGTAGTGAAATTCCATTTTTTATGATTTTCTTTTTTACATTTCTTTCACATGTTCTGTTCACATTTTTTATACACTTTTGATTAAAAATCACTAAAATATTTTTTAATAAAATTATTGAGGTTAATACTTTATATTTTTTTGAAATATAAAGCATAGAATTAACATCCATTAATTTTCTAGTAATTATATATTTTTTTTATATATTATATAATTATAAATATATTAAATGTTCTAAAACTTAACCTAAAAATATTTTAAAATATTTGAAAACAAGAAATTATAACTCATAAAGTTGTTGTAAAATATCATAATATTCTATTATCGACAAAGAAATTTTTTAGCTAATAAAGATATTTTTTATCATATTTCAGACGGTTTTAAACGCGCGTACCAAATCCTGCTGCACTGGGCGAAGCAGGGAGGTTCGGAAGACAACATCACCGTGGTTGTGGTCCTGTTAACTCCAGCCAACGCGATCGCAGCCAGACCTCTAAACGCCCATCCGTACTTTCGTTTACAAGTGAATGAAAATATACTCGAAAAAATGAATTCAAAGGACAAACCGCTCTTTATGGATATCGATGATGCCCATAATGCGATCAATTCGAACATCCTCAAACAATCTATGATTTCTCAAGAGCCACGTGACGACGACGACGGTATACTAGCGGCTAGTAATGGAAAACACGAAAATGGCGACGCTGATTATGATTATTCCGATTTGGGGCCCGAGACCAATGTAGACGCGATCGATGATGTGACCATGCCCGTGAAAAATCTTTCATACGAATTTTACAAAGATGACGATATTTGCCATGAAGATGGCCAAACCGATAATGACTCGAATATTCTCGACAATAGGGACATCGACGAATCTATCAATGCTAACCTAAATGCCAATACCAATATAATAACGCATGAACAAATCACTGATAATAATTTACACGAAGACAATGATGACGATGACGATGACGATGATGACGAAGTGGACGAAAACGATGACGATGATAATGATAATGATGATGAATTGCATCAAGATAACGATGATGTTCCTGATGACGAGGTTATGGTATCTAAAACAATTGAAGACGATATTCCTGAAAACGAGATAATCTGTGAAAAAATAAATAACGAGATTTGCGAACAGCTTATGGAAAATATAGTGGACGAAAAGAAAACGTATGTGGAGGATCAAGCAGATATGCCACAAGATGTCGTTGATGAAGCCGGTCCTGTGGACTATGACGAATCACCGCCATCACCGCAAGCTAACAGTAAGTGTGAACTACAAAGTAAACCACGTTTCTATGAACGACCTATTTCCTCGTGGATCGCGAGGTGCGTGTTAATGTTTGGAAAGTTTATTTTCTTGAGTTTCGTGTCGGTATACGATTTTTCGAGCTTCTGAGGCGAATCGTGAATTTTCTTGATTTGCAGATAAGATCTTGATGAATTTTTTTTACGATTAAAGTTTTTTTTCGTTTTAAGTTAGTTACTAATGTTTTGGAAATCCAGTTTCAATGTAAAAGTAAAATTGATAGCTCAATTTAAAAATACTGTCTTTGTTTTTTATTTTCAGATATATTAATTATTAATTTTGTTGAGAAACAATCATAATTATTGCACAATAATTATAGTATACAAATAATTACAATGAGAGAATTAAAATAATATTACATATAAGATAACCTAATATTAGAATAGATTTGATCAAATCATTTTCTTTTTCCAAATTTTATGCATAAATTTTATAATAGAAAGATAACAGAAATAATATTATTTTGCTCAAAAATTGAAAGAAATTGAGTAATCATGAATAAATATTAATTTGTTATCAATTATTTTAATATTAATTATTTTAAATTAATATTAATTTAATATATCTAAAACTGAATATTTCTAAAAGATATTATTTAGGGAACTTAAGTTAATATTTATTTGTAGACATATACATAAATATTTTTTGAAGATTCAATGAAAAATAATTAAATTATGCAGAATGTTATGTAATAAATTACTATAATTAGAATAGAGATAATTCCTCGTGAAAAATATTTTTATAATTTATAGGAAAGAATGCGAGAAATGGATATGTATTCGCATTTTTAAAAAGAAAAATATTCGTTTTACGTGTTTGATTAGTAAGAGATAACGCAACAAAAAGAAGTTTACAATCACGATTAGATTCGTTTTAAATTGAAACAAGTAGAAGTAGATTGTAAAATATAAGTGCTATACAATGAAGCATCTTATGCGAAGGACATATTAATTCAAGTTAATTTTTCTTATGTAGTTTATGAAAGATCTGTGAAAAAATTTCAAAAGTAAAATATAAAATTATTTTTCTTATAATTTTTATATTCATATCTATTGATTTGGATAGATTTTAATTTTACAGTTTTTTTTATTAATTCATATTCATATTTTTAAACAAATAATCTAATCTTCATTAAAACATGATTATTATATTATTTTATTTTATTTTAATTCTTTTTAAGAAAAAAAATATATAGACTTTTTTTATGTATTTTATCTATTTGTAGATATGTAAAAAAAGAATTATAAACAAAAATTTATTTGCTTTTAATGCATAAAAATGGTAATAATAAATATTTTAAAAATAGTTTTTTTTTTTTCAAATAGAAAACTTAAGGTCATTCATCAACTTAAAATTATATTATTAGTCGTATATCTATTGAAAAGAAAATTAACTTGAATTAATAGTTCTATTATTTATAATTACGAAATTTAATTATTGAAATTTTTTTTATCTTTAATTAATTTTATTGCAAATTTTTTTAAATCTTAATTCTTTTTTTTTTTTTTAATAATTCTTTAATTTCTTATCAAAAACAGGAAAGGAAACAATATTTATTCAAAATTTTACGAGAAAAACATCTGTTTAGTTTTTCGATAACACTGCAACATCTCTTTCCATTCGCGTCGAAAGGTTGGATTTCGGTTAATTCGGAGAAACCGGTTAGAAAGAAGGTCGATGCCATCGGATATTTTTGACCATCGTTACGTGAAACTTGCATTATATCTTACGCACCAGTAAAGAATTTAGAGAAATGTAATCTTAACTAATCAATATATAAAATATTTTTTAATAAGATATTTATCAAACTACAAATTGTTAAGTTCAGTCTGATATAAATAATAAGAAATTCTTTTTCTAATTTATATTTTGAAAGTTCACAAGTATATAAAATCTTTAGAAATTAAATATTTCATATTATTCTCTGAACCAGCACAAAATAATTTAGGAATGATTTAAAATAAATGAATGTTTTTATATTTGTTAAATTAGGAATTTATTCAAAGTGAAAAATTTTTTCTTAATATAAAATACGAATTTTGAAAAATTCTCAATCATAAAAATAATGATAATTATTGCTGAATTGAAATATTTTAAAAAATATTCATTTCTTACTTTTTACTTTTCCTAACTTTTAAATTTCCTTATTTAAAATTGGATACAAAAATTTGTTTTTATTAAAAAACAATATTATACAATGATTTAAATCTAAATTGTACAATTTTATATCGAAATTCAATGAGAACTGTCGCTTGTCTATATTAAAATATCTATTAATAAGAGATATTAATAAACATAACCTCAATAATATAACATAAAGTATTAAGATGAAATATTAATACTTTCTTATAGTTAATAACTAACTTTTTATTACTTATTTCAATGGTAATTTACTTTTACTTTTTTTTTATATTTTCAAAGTGCATAAGTATAATTATATTTTAAAATAAATTAATTATCATTTACGGTATATAGTAAATTTTTATACCTGGAACTATTTTATATTTTCTTTATAAAGAAATTTTACTTACGCGATACGCGATATAAATTATACACGCAAATATTCACACTGCAACGATCAATCTTACGTGAAAGTATTTTTCATATTGATGGATTACCCGAAAAAAAAAAAAATAAATAATCGTGAACTTTCTTAAACTTTCCGCAATAAAATTCTATATTGTAATTTTCTCACCGTCAAATTTGGTCTCACCGGATTTGGAAAAAATTGTCCGATATCGTGCTTACCTCATAAATATGAATGTCAAACGTGGGACGTTCTTTGCTGTTCTCTCCATCGGCCACGATCCCGGCCCACTTTCCGCTGCACTTCGGCTTTCACCACCTTGTGCCAGTCACTGCACTTCCTGCACTGATTGTCATCCTCCTCACAAAACTTCTAATCTTCTTCTGAGGTCTGAATCTTCCTCTATCCCTTCCTTTCTCTTATACCTACTACCTATTTCCTATTTTACTTACTATTTCGTCAAACATATACATATATTCCGTATATGTTTAAATTTTGAAATCTTTGCAATGTCAAGATAAAAACAATTTATTAAGTTGTTCGAAAAAAGAAAGTCTTTTTTATTTACATGCGATTATGATAGTCAAAATTAATATTTAGTTATTTGGAATTTAATGTTGTCAATTATTATCTTTTTAATTATTAAATAATTATATAGTTTAAATTATATAAGAAATTTATTTCTTTTAAATCTTATTCATTTGTAAATTTATGATATTTCTTTTTTTAATTAGATTAACTTATTGTTTTAAATCTTATATTGAAATAATCTAAATTATATTAATAATAATTAGTTAGTATAAATATGAAATAAATAAATAACATATGGATGAATATTTATTATATATATTTTATTTGATATATAAATATAAAGAACAATTTCCAAGTTTCTTAAATAATAATAAAAAAAGATTAAATGAAAAAAATTCAATTTTGAAAATATAAGTTTCATTATTTTTTGTTTTCTTTTCAATAAATAATATATATAAAAATAATATATAATTTAAAGTATTCGTTTTGAATTTTGTAATAGATTCTTGCAAAAGATAATATTTTAAGAGAATGAAACATTGAATATTTTTGTCACTGTGCAACAGGAAAGTGTTACCGACGGTTTTCTTCGAAGCACAGCATGATATTAAAAAAGGAGAACCGTCATGACACTTACGTGCCAAAGAAGCCACGTATGCCGTTCATGTATGCGCGCAGTTATTCACTGTACCACGCCCCTCTTTTTCCATCTATCTAAATTTATCTGGGCATGCAGTCGCAAGGTCGTTTTATTCCTATTATATTTTCTGTGAATTTTTCTAATATTTAATTAATAAATGTTACATTTCAAAACATAATAGTTGAAAGAAAAATAGTTAAATTTTTAGAACTGAAAAAATTTAGTGCTAGTGATATACGGTTTTTCTAATTAAATTCTATTTAAAAAAAATTAATAATTTCTTGTTAATTTTTCGTTATAATGAAATATAATAAATCTCTCAATATGATAAAATTATTTCTTATAGAAATTTAAAAAAAAATTAAAAAATTTATTTGAAATATAAAAAATTATAATATTAAATTCTATTTTTTTTTCTTTTCGAAAATTTATAAATTATAAATCGAAAATATAATTTTTTGTTGTTATTATTTTTATTTCTGTAATATTCATATAATATTTTAAAATAAATATTTTTACATCATTATTTTCATAATATTTTTAATGAAATTATTATTTAATAAAATCAGTTTTTTGCTAAGATATTTATTATAAAATATAATTTTTCTTATCAATTATTATATATTTTCATTTAAAAGTATTAAAAATCTCTTATATTATTGTTGATAATTGTGTGATTACACGTGTGCAAAATTTATACTATCAAATTTACCGCCACGCAGCAGAAATATCTCGAATCATCGTCAATATGTACGATTGGACTCGAGAGTCGCAATGCATTTCGATTGGCGCACGAGTGAGCAGTCGTTGGCCAATAGTGCGGCATGCCGCGTGGGTCGACTGGAAGGGGGTTCCGGCAGTTGGACTCGAGCCCCGGAGGATTGCGAATGTGCGTATTCTTTGGTCTTGCTCGAAGTGTTTTCGTGGTGTGAAACCAGTCGGATTTGTGTATTGTGAATTTCGATAATAAGTTCGTCGATTATTTCTATTGGGACGTGTATCGATAGAAAATCTTTGTAGAATTTCGTGTAGTATTCAGAAGCAGACGGTGCCAGCGAGAGAGCGTTCTCTAAGGTACGTTAATCACGTCCACCATGAACGGTCTACGACGAATTTAAATTTGGAACGGACGCCGGCCGGCGTTGAATGTTCGCCGGTCGATTTCGTGTCATTCTTTGGATTCCTTAGCCGATTTTCGAAACGTTGTTCGCGATGTTAACTTGTTCACAAACCGTCGTAATGTTTTCTTATTTGTCTC